AGGATAGTATCGCGAAGGTGTTCCGTGATTCCGCACGTACCCGAAGAAGTGTCGATTCGCTACGCAAAAACCAGGAGCCGGTCAAAGTGAAAGATATTTTCTGGTCAGGAGTAAATCATAATTTCTACAGCCGCAAAGTCACGATATACTATTCGATGAAACCGTTAATCACACAACTGGATTATAATACGGTAGAAGGACTGGCGCCGTTGGTAAATCAATCATTCCGGTATTTCCCGCAAAAGGGGCGAAATACTTTTACGCTTGACTGGAGTTCACGCTATGGAATCAGCAACCGGCACTTTAATTCATTTGCAGACTTCACCATAAGATCAAGGACACTCAATGCGAATATTCGTAACCGATATTTGAAATTATCAGGCGGGAAACGGGTTTCCCAGTTCAATCATGAAAGTCCGCTGGAACCTCTTTCTAACGCCATCACCACGTTATTCTGGAAAGAGAATTACCTTAAAGTGTATGAAAATTGGTTTGGAAGAGTTGAATATAATTCGAAAACAGAAAGTGGCGTCAGGCTTAACTTTCATGTGACCTATGAAGATAGAATCCCCGTAGAAAACAGCACTGACTTTGCCTTTTTTGGCAGGGAAAAAACAATTCTGCCCAATCACCCTTACGAATTGGCTGATATACCATTTCAAAAGCACCAGGCATTGGTGGCAGGAACCCGTATAACCTGGCAGCCGGGACAACGTTACATTCAATTTCCCACCTATCGTGTCGCTGTTGGTTCCAATGCACCCACTTTCGTTGGAGAATATAGCAAGGGAATCGAAAAAGTATTCGGTAGTGATGTGAATTTTGATAAGTGGAAATTCTCCATCATCGACAATTTAGACTTCAGGCTCGGCGGAGAATTTAAGTACAAGATAAGTATCGGTGGATTTCTCAATGACAAGAAAACGGAGATTCCAGACTTCCAGCATTTCAATGGTAATCAGGTTTATTCCATTCGTAAATATCTTGACGCATTTCAACTGGCGCCCTACTAC